AAACACCCCGTGCAATAACCCTGTATATAAAGAAAAGCTGTCGTATGTGGACGCACTATATAGACATTTTCACCTTTTCTCTTCCTTTGGCGCCTTATTCTTCTCTCTTGACTATTTCAGCTGATGTAACGAGTACATTTCTCCACTGTGAGATCAATAAAGTTAATCAATTAGTTTCACCTGGTTTATTTCGTAAAAAGTCTTCTTTAATGAACCTTTGGCTTTCCAGTTATTAATCAAAAAATTAGCACCCAGAACCCAAATTGACAGATCAATCGATTTGCAAATGAATATTTAGTTGCAGCCCTAATGTCTGCTGCTGGTTCCAGTCTGCTCCATTCAGACTCATCTGCTGGTGTTTCTGATGCCAGTTTAGCAGAGCGCATGGCAGAGTTTGGTCAACTAAAAAAAAGAGAAAAAATGCACGTTTTAGTGCAAATTGTTTCCACCGGGATTTAACAAACATGTCCTTATGTCAGCCTTCACATTTAAAGCAACACATACTTTTTTTTAGTTTTTACGGCACTAGTGGCTCGTTTTTTGGACAGTTGGCTGACAGGAAAGGGGATATGAGAGAAGAAGAGAGACATGCGGCACAGGACCACAGGTCGTACTCCAACCTGGGTCGCCCATGTCAAGGACTAAGGCCTCCGTACATGGGTCATGTGAGCTAACCACTGCTCCATCAACCAGTGGGGTCACACATTTTTTACTTCAGTAGAAGTATAGATACTGCAGTTTGAAAACACTCTGGTAAAAGTTGAAGTATCAAGTAAAAGTGAAAAAGTATGTGCTCAAAAACTACTTAAAGTATAAAAGTATAAAGTAACCTTTAAAAAAAACAGCCAGATGCCACTATATGAATTAAAAGCCCAATTTTCCAACTATTTCTATAAATCCTCTGAGATAGGACCAAGGATGAGGGAGGTCTTGTTGGTCTCCGTCTCCCGATACGCTCTCACCTGTGTCCGACCTTTCAGACATTTCAACATCTTTTTCTGAATCCCACATTGTAGCATGGCATAGACAATTCACGTTAGCAGTTTGAAGAACACCTG